AAGATTGGAAAATGTTTATTGAATATATGGGGGGAAATTGTGTACACTTGAAAATGCTGGCAGCATTAAGATAAATTCAACAGTGTAAATAAGTTTTGATGGAAGTATTAATGGAATACTGGTTTAGTTTATATAAAATATGAAGGGATTTATGCTATGTAAAAGGAACCATGGAAAGATAAGGAGGGAAGTCATTGATATTTTAAGGTTGTATAAATGAATATTCTAAATTGTGAAACTGAAAATTTGCTACCCAAAAGTCAGTCAGTCAGTCTACCCAAATGTCTGGGGAAAACAAAAGCGATTTGGTGCCAGGCAGGCCTCCCTGGGGAGAGCAGTCTATAGGTGGGAAGCTACTACAGAAAAGGAAATGAGAGAGCATGCAGAGAAGGGCCTCACATGATGATCTCAGGGTCTAGGCAGATTTATATGGGAAAGAGAGGGCCTTCAGAATCGTATTTAATGATCAAAACTAACACTTTGAATTACACCTAGAAACAAATTGGTGGCCAGTGCAGTCAGGCCAGAACTGATGTGGTTACCGTATTTTTTGCTCTATAAGACACACTTTTTCCCTCCTAAAAAGTAAGGGGAAATGTGTGTGTGTCTTATGGAGCGAATGCAGGCTGCGCAGCTATCCCAGAACCCAGAACAGCGCTCCCTCTTGCTGTTCTAGCTTGTGGCTTAGCCGTGCGAAGCCTCTTCAGGGCACGGGGAGCCTTCATCCCGCTGCCCTGAAGAGGCTTCTTGTGGCTATCCCAGAAGCCAGAACAGCGAGAGGGATTGCTGTGCAGCGCTCCCTCTTGCTGTTCTAGCTTCTAGCTTAGCCCCTCAGTCCCTTCCCCCACCACCCGGAAAAGCCCCCAAGAGCTGCGCTCCCTTTAAAGAGCAGCGCAGAACGCGTGTGCGGTTCTTGGGGGCTTTTCCCCAAGGAGGGAGAAGGGCAGCACACACGCTCCACGCGGCTCTTTAAAGGGAGCGCTGAGCAGAGCCTGGGATGCGTACAGGCTCTGCTCAGTGCTCCCTTTAAAGAATTTTTTCCCCTTGCATCCCCCCTCTAAAAACTAGGTGCGTCTTATGGTCAGGTGCGTCTTATGGAGCGAAAAATACGGTATGTTCATGCCTTCTAGTCCCAGATTTCAGTTCAATCAAATCTGCTTGCTGCATTTTGCACTAACCTACACTGAATTGACTCAATATAAGGCAGAATCCTATCTCTTTAATCCTCTTTCCAAACTGTTCCCAAGATTAATGCATGACAGCATTTGCCAACATTATCCTCTCTTTCCCCCCTCCTTCTGTTTTTCCTTGTTATTATCCATATATGTCAATGTTGTCTTTGTAACTCTGTAAGTAAAGTGTCATATACACTGATAATGTGATGATGATATTAGACCAGATAGTCCAATAGCATGAGCCAACATTTAACATGGTAACAAGATGAAGTGCAAGAGGCCCCTGGTAATTGCTTTGATGTTTCTTTTTTGGTCGTTTCCCTGTTTCTGCAGTGATTTTCTAGTGCCGCTGCCAACGATGACACCATCTATCCATTTCATTTCTGAAGGCGAAGCCTATTTGACCAGTCACAGCCCTCTGCATAAATTCCTTTTCTGTCCTCTTAAGCCAGGATAGGCATTTAATGCAGAGGTTAGAATAACAAGCTCCATTTCTCATGGCCTTAGCAAAGCAATCAATTGCCTCCTTTGCAATTATAAGCTATTCTATTTTTACAGCATTGCGTGTTGATGCCAGAGTTGATCATTGGGGTTTCTGATGCCCTGAAGGTTACTGACTCCAGGAATGCGAGCCATTTAACCGCCCTTTGCTTTTTCTCTCTCTTTCCACGCAACAAGGAATGAAGGGCAATAGTAGCCTTGGAAAGCTTATGCCAGAAGCCGTTAAAGTGATCAAACAGAGGCCAACGAGTTCAGACGCTAGAAGCAAATTCATGAATGGGAGGACAGCAGGCAAAATAGCTGAAATAGCAGAAGGCAATGCACTTTTGTCATTCTGTTTTGCAAAGGGCCGTATTTCAAGACAGAGTTACATGTTCCTACTTCCCTGACCAGTCAGAAGTTAGAGAGAGAACACTACTAGACTGAACATTGTCATATCCTCTGACATTTTTTGATGAAAATAGGGGCGTCCTATTCTATAACGACAATAACTTTTATTATTTATAACCCGCCCATCTGACTGGGTTGTCCTAGCTACTCTGGGCAGCTTCCAACATATATAAAAACATAATAAAACATTAAAAAGCTTCCCTATACATAGCTGCCTTAAGATGTCTTCTAAAGATTGCATAGTTACTTAATTCCTTGGCTTGCGGGTGTGTGTCACATAACTCCATATCTTCCAACTTTTCTCTGATGAAAATAGGGATGTCCTAAGGAAAAGCAGGACATTCCAGGATCAAATCAGAAACCAGGAAGGCTTCTGTAAATCCGGGACTGTCCCTGGAAAACTTGGCAGGGTGTGCATCCTTTGGATAAGAGAGCACTGGAAACTTTGGATGTCTTTGCAATATTTGCTTTATGTGTGCAGACAGAGGACCTCCCCCCAGCAAATAAATACCAGTTTCTGAGACTCAGAAGTGGGAGCACCACCAATGCGCTCATGTCCTGCTTTCAGGCTTCCCATAGGCTAGGGTTACCATATTTTAAAAAGTAAAAATCTAGCAGGGCTTTTACATTTTTATTTAAACTCTGCATTCCGAGGCAATTCACCTCTGGCCAATTTGCAGCTCCTTTATCCACTTGCACTAGATTATTATTTTCATAAGCTGCCCTACATTAAAAAAAAAGTTCAGAAACAAAAGTCATAGGGGAAATTGTGTTAAAAACATGCAACCAACAAGAGTTAAAAGCTGCAAAAATAAGGAATGTTTGGACAGAGGTAATAAATGAAATAAAAACAACAACAGGTTATAGATTACCATTAGATTACCATAGATTACCATTACCTCTAATTGCATTTATTTGGTTTTGTAAGGGACTCGGTTTTGTGTATAGATATGGAAATGCTACTGCACCTCCGGATCTCTGCAAAACTGGAATAAAATAAAAGTTGCAACCACTGAGGAATGGGTTGTGAAACTCATTGTGTTATATACATGGTCAAATTAACCAACATAATAAGAGTCAGAGAGGGCAGGAGGTAGGGGAGTTGGTTTAAAGAAAAGAAAAAGGAATGGAGGATGTTGAAGAATCAAAAACTTAAAAAAAGAGTGGGAACTATAGAGAGTCTGGTGGATCAGAATAAATATTTGGAAACATAATTTCCTGAAAGCTTCTCTTCATGCCAGAAATATTTTTCAAGCACACATTTGAGTCCCGCTCTAGTTTTCTCTTGTGTGGGTAGCTGACGCATTGGTTCAGCCCAGGCTATTGTTTTAAATCTGCTTTTGACTTAGCGGAGCTGTCAGGGAGCCAGTCACTGTTTGCATGATGGAAAGTGTCAAAAGATTTTCCCTTGCTTCTAATTGACCACTAAGCTCTCAAAAAGACACAATTTATAGATTCGTTTATTCTTTCTGCTGCAAACTGAAAGGCATTTCAAATGAAAAGTCAGATATAATCTTACTAAGTTCTTTTTTTTGGGGGGGGGAATCTCAGAGGCCGATGCAACATGCAACAGTGCCACAATGGGCTAGGTTTTAAGACTAAAGCCATTTCAGGAAAAGGAGAACTGAGTGCAGAGAAGTAGCAGTGTTTTGCTGACAGTCATCCCTGCCTGCTTTATAAGGTAACTTTGGGCAATGAAGCAGATATGGCCTACAGGCCATTTTAAATGAGTATGTCATAGCAGTAACTATGTCGAAGGCCGTTCTGTGCCACCATTTTGTCTGTGCAATGTGACCCACGTGCAAACTGCTGTGGTATGGGGTTGCTTGCAATTTGTCCCTGTACAAACAAACCAGGATCAGATAGGCCTTCTTTTATAGATTTCTTCTTCTTCTTCTTTGGTGATCACTTGTAACCGAGTAAGGTTGTCTTCCATAAACACAATTTTAACGGTGAGTCTGTAATGACTGTGGAGGCCAATTCCAGATCTACACATCCTTCCACAGTGGGGACATAGGTTTCCGGGAGGGAGTTGATCACGGCGAGGATTTGCCAAGCGTGCCTTCCTCTTAGCACGTTTCTCCCTTTCGTCCTGAGTTCGAGCGTCTTCAAAGCCCATGACACCTTTGGTAAAGGCTGTTCTCCAACTGGGGCGCTCGCAGGCCAGTGTTTCCCAGTTGTCGGTGTTGATACTACATTTTTAAAGATTTGCCTTGAGAAAGTCTTTGAACCTCTTTTGTTGACCACCAGCATTACGCTTTCCATTTTTAAGTTCGGAATAAAGTAGTTGATTTGAAAGACGATCGTCAGGCATCCGCACAACATGACCAGTCCAATGAAGTTGATGTTGAAGAACCATTGCTTCAGCACTGGTGATCTTTGCTTCTTGGATTTTATAAGAACATAAGAACAGCTGGATCCGGCGAATGGCCCATCTTAGTCCAGCACCCAGTTCTCGCAGCGGCCAACCTGATACCTGTGGGAAACCAGTGAGCAGAACATGAGCACAAGACCACTCTTCCCTCCATTTTCTCAAAAACCATTCACCGATGGGTTTAGGACCCAGCCTTTTGTACCATGCCACAACAGCACAGACATTCGAGAAGCCTGTAAAGAAATCCAGCATACCCCCTGACTTGGTGCCAAAATTAGCTTGTCTGGATGAGCAAAGAAATTGACCTTTTTACAGATGGTGGAGCAGAAGCCATGTAGGAAGTCAGATGTGCTGACACGGTTGAGATGGCAGAGATGCCTGAAGTGTCTACGGTGTGAGCTGAAAATATGCCGCATGAGAGAGCCCCTGTCCGTAGACCTCCTGGAGAAGCCAGTTGCCCAGCTGACTACAGGATGAGTCTGTTCTTGCAGTGACAGCTGCAGGAAACTGTGATGCGGTACTTGACCACTGCTGACTTGGGTGTCATGTTCCCCCTCCCCCCTCCCCAGGGTGCCACGTGCAAAGGCAAAATGGATCTTTCCTTGCAGAGTCCTACCTCCTGGCAGTTTAAATCTGCGCAAGTGATGAAATGGCTGTTTCAAAACATGCTTTGGGAATCTGAATGAATTTCAAACCGAGGATCAGTCCAGCTCTGCTTCCAGTTTTCATTCAACCCAGGTGAGGAAACAGAAGTCCTAAACCAGTGTCTTGCTGCAGCAATCGGCAGGATATTCCAGGCTCCTCTTTTAATGTCTTTTCAGCACTAAGCAAATACCTTTTGATTTCCCGAAGCCTTCTAAATAACATTTTAGATTGTAATGTTTTTCCCCTTCCTTGCTCTCTATTGTCTTTGATACGTTTCAGTCGTATTTGGTGTTTTAATGCTGTGTTTTATTGTGCTGTGCTCTATTTTTAATTTGCTTTCTCCCCCTCCCCAAGTCTATAAATAATGTAAACAAAGAAACAAACAAAAACAATGCTTTGCGTGTAGAAAGGTCCCATGCTCAATCCTTGGTATCTCTAGGTGGAAAGATGATAATTTTAATTGCCTGTATAATCCTGATGGAATAGAAGAGTTTTCAGCTAGTGTTTAAAAGTTGAAACAGAAGGCACCTGCTGAATATCTAGTGGCAGAGTGTTCCACAGGACTGGGCCAATGACACTACAGGCTCGGTTCCTTGTTGATGAACCTCGCCTACTTTGGGAATGACCAGTGATACTCCAGCAGATGGTCTCAGTATTCAAGATGTGATATAAGAGTTCAGGTACCCTGAGGTACCCTGAGCCTAAGTTGTTCAGGGATTTGTAAATTAATATAATCAACTAGAACCTGGCTCAGGCAGCCAGTGCAGATGTCAGATGTCGTCTGTCAAACAACCCCATCAGCAGGGCTACTGGATGGGGATGATATGAACTGCCGTCCAAAAACATCTAGAGGGCACTATGTTGGCTAGCTCTGCTACCAGGAATATTCTTAAAATAAAGAGGAATCTCAGAGGCCCATAAATATAGATTGTAGAAACTTACTCTGAGAGGAAGTGTCAATTCACACTATTTCCGAAGGACATAAATACAAAGACCTGGCAAGATGTGAATTCCAGAATAGAACAGAAGAAACACACACCCATAATACAAATATGACTACCAGAGTTGAAATAACTAACAAGCAGAAATATAGTAAAGGGTCAAATCCAGAACTTTGTGGAAAAAATATATCCTGAACTGCATTGCTTATGGTTAAATTCACACTTCTGGGAAGGTAGGGAAGGAATAACTGAGATGCTATTGAATTATACTTTGAAAAACCTCGGCTACTCTTATGCCAGAATCCTACACGTAAATATTTTTCCCCCAAAACTTTGAAGACGAAAACTAAATCAGAAATTAAAGGGCCAATATAAGTATTGGCAATTCCCAGAAATAATAAATCTAAAAATCTGCAATCCGTAGGGCTACACCGTCAGTGGTGAGAGATTTATTAGCAAGTAGCTTTATGACATTTTTCAGATGAGTCACACATTCTTAGTGATATATTTCAAGAGTAACAGCAACCAGCTCCCTGAAATGGCCGTGGGTTCCATACCATTTCATTCATAGCAAAATAACGCAAGTTAGCTACCTAAAACAATTTTTTAAAAAATAAGCATTCTATAGTTATTATTTATAACTTCATCTGGAGCCTGTTAAATATATCGGTGAAAGCAAACATGGGGAACATATTGCTCAACAAGTGCTGCCTGAGGCAAAGGACAAGATGGTAGCCTCTCTCCCAGGTACGGAAGCTGACTGCACTGTCAGTTAAGTCTTACTTCAACACTGGCCTTGGAATAGCATCCTCCGGTGCACCTGATGACAATCCAGTTTAGAGGGTGCATGACAGGCCTGTGGCACGCACAACTTTGATCTCCAACAGAGGCCTGAGGGCTCAGGAGTCACAGCTGCCGTTGCTGCTTCCCCAGCATCTGTTACCTGAGGCACTCTGCCTAATAGCAGGGCCGGCTAAGATGCTGTCAAACCTGCTTTACAGGTTAGATCTATATTTTCAGGTCCCACCATACATTTGAAGCACTGTTATGTGGCTTATGTGTTGTGGCTTATCTCAAATAATCCTGGGCATTGTAATAACAATAATAATAATAATAATAATAATAATAATCCTTTATTATTTGTACTCTATCCATCTGACTGGGTTACCCCAGCCACTTTTGGCGACTTCAAACATATATAGTTTGTAATGAGTGCAAAGAGTTGTTGGAAGACCCTTTTCTCCTCACAGCTCTACAATTCCCAGAGTTCCCTGGGAAGAGGCATTGATTGTTAAACCACTGTGAGAATTGTAACTCAATTGGAGTTCAAATAATATTAGCTAATACATAAAATATTACGTAAAGAAGCTTACAAATTTTACATTTGGTCACTATGTAATTCGCCTAATATATATTTTTTTTGCAAAGCAGTTTCCTATACCATAGCACATTCCAGTATGTTAGCTACATTAATACTTGCATTTTAATGCATTTACCGCAGTAATTGCATTTTTGTACATATTAAGTGGCTTCAGACCTGCATTGCAAAAGTGCGAATTTCAAAGAATGGAAGGGTTACGGTTTGCGTATTATCTAAGTAGGTTCGCCTTTAGATGCAAAGGGGATTGATTTTCTCCCTCCTCTGTAATGGGACCGACCTCATTCAAAGCGCCTGTACCCAAACTGGGGCAGGGACCAGTCTCTTTCTTTAGCTTAGATTCCACTGCAAAGCATCCTGTGCTTCATTGGCGCTGTGTAAATAATAATCACCAGCAAATAAATATTGGGCCCATGAGCCTTGACGGCTTGCCTTGACACGTCTCACTGTTTCAAACATGCTGGAATTTGGTCCTGTTAAGCTGTGGGCAGGGAGAGAGGGAAATTTATTTGAGACAGAGGAAGCTTCTTCTTTTTTCAAAGTTAAGTGATGGACGTCCTTGAACGTAATAGGATAAAAAAAGAGACGGGGGGTGGAGGGAGAAAGAGAAAACAAGAGGGAGAGGGATGTTGTTTCTGGACGCTTCATACCATAATAGCTGACAGCTGAGCCGGCAAGGTGGCTCCTAAACTGTAGCAGACAAGTCAGACAGTTTTAACAGGATCCCTGAGGAGCTCCTGAAGAAAGGAAAAGGTGAATTTTTAAATGTTGTCCCCCTCACCTCCCCCCCACTGGTTTTCTGCCAGAGAAGTTATGTAGTTCTTGGCTCAGGGCCAGCAGAACCAAGGAAGGCAGAAGAGAGAGGGAGGAGAGACAGCGCATGCATATTACAAAGGTCACGCCAAAGGCAACATTTACATTTATACCTTTGTACCATTTCTTGGACTTCTCGCTGAGTAAATCCCACCGTCTGAAACAAATTAAATGGGGGTTGTTGTTTTTTGGTCCTCCCTCTCCTCCCAAATAGGGAGGCTTGTTCACAACTGCCAAGATGTGTGCATGTGCATGTATGTAATGTTTATAAGGGCTGATGTACACATTATATGTACTTCAGTGACCCTTCCTCCTGATAGGGTTTCCTATTCCCAAAGAAAGTGACAAACTTGTAGCTGGAATGAGGATCTCTCTTGCTCAGCTATTATGGTATGGAGTTCCCAGGTTCAGGGCCCACCTAGGTTCAGGAGATGGGCTCAGGCGGCGGAAGCCCAAGAGACAGTGTCCCTGCGTGCGCCTTGCCCAGTCACCTCTGCCTCTGCTGGAGAAAGGGCACTGGAATCAAGATCTCGCCAAAATCTCACGAGATATTGTGCGCTCCACGATATCTTGCCTGAATCTGCCACTGCTTTGCTGTTAAGGGAAGTGTTACGTTGTGGGTGAACATATCAGACGACACAGCGATTCTTCAAACAGCTCTTGTTTATTCACAGGCCAGAACAGAACTGAACTGAAGGGTTCAGCCAGCCTGCTTATATAGAGCTCCACTAGAACGCAACAGTAACCATTTTCTGTAACTATCCAATCACTGAACGTCACTTTCGATCCCTTATTTGCATATGTGGACCTGAGTGAAAACTATCTACAGTATAGTACAGTACCCCTGCTGGCCCAGGGTGAGAACTTTAGTACATAACAGTAAGCTTCATTGGGAGTGGAGGCAGGGCAGAATAGCACCTTCCGGTTTCACCTCAGGTGCTGAAATGAGATGTGCCACCATTCGATCCCTGGCATCTCCTTTTGTCTCAGTTTCTCCTACCCTCCTCTTTCCCTCTCTCTTTTCCCTTTTCCTTTCTGCCTCCTCTTCTCTCCCTCTCTCCTCTCCTCCTGTCTCTCCATCTTCTCTTTCTTCCACACTCTCCCCCCCCCGCCCAGTGGTTTGCCAGAGGCAGGACAGATCACTTGCACCAGAGGCCTCAAGTGAACTGCTGATGTTTGAAGCCCCCCCTCTCTCCCTTCTTGTGCTTCTTTATCTTTAATCCAGACTTGACTCAGAGAGTCCTTCAAACAGAGGATTGTCCTCTGGAAGCCCTTCAGCCAGAGGATTGTCCTCTGTAAAATAGGGCACATGGCCATCCTAGTCCCCACCCCTGCTGGATTGGGGAGTGTTTCTCTTCACATTCGAATAACTAAGCTGAGACACATATATCTCCTTGGTTCCTTATGCACAGTTGCCAGCGCAAGTTAGGAAAAAAACCAAAAACCCTTCTCTCATAAGAAAACAATGAAGGAGTTGGGTGAAAGACAACCATTTCACCACACTTTAAATCACTCTGGTGGTGTGCCGAAAAATGTGGGAGAAATTTCAGGGACTTATTTGCATTCCGTGGTTTCGAAAACTGGCCTGTCAGAGCTGTGCTTCAACCCCCCACCTTTGGTATATCAGGGTGGAAAATGAAGCTTTAGGGGTCAGTCAGCATGGAGCTAGCAAGAAGACACTTTCAGATACAGAACTATCCCCCGGCATCCCTTCACGTTCAGGCCTGTCCCTGGTAATTTTGGCTTCATTCACTGGACAGGTGATTGAAGATTCCTATGATGTTTCAAGGTCTCCTTTCAAGCAAGTGGGAGATCAGCCTGGTTAACACACCCCACATTTCTCATGTGAAAATGGGGACATATCTCACTCCCGGACATCTGACTCACCTGAACCCCCCATTTTTGTGTCCCCCCCCAACGTATTTCCTATCATAAGCAGGGAGAGTGCCATCACCCTTACACCAACAGGACCAAGCACACATGAACTCCACTGTCCTGAGAAAACCCGTTAATCCCCATTTTATTTTATTCTTTGGTCGATGTACAAAAAGAAGAACACGCACCAATAAATAAATTTGAGAAAGGGGCAAGATTAGATGCAGATGCACAAAGATCATTATTATTTAAACCAAGACTCCCTGAGCTCTGCTCCCTCTTTCTTCCCATGGCCCTGCCTGCTCCTCAGACCTGACACATCGGGTGGGCCATGGCAGCGGCGGCCTCTCTTCCCCCTTGCCAGCTCTCCAGCAACCACTATGAGCTGCCCAAGGAGGAAACCAGCAGGAGTGGCCATGGAGAGGCAATGGGATGCTCCCTCGCCACCACCGTTTGGGACAAGTGACTGTCCTCCTCCCTAAGCTGGGAAATAAGGGCATTCCAGGATCAAATCAGAAGCCAGGGTGGCTTTTGTAATTCTGGAACTGTCCCTGGAAAACTGGGACACTTGGAGGGTATGAATCAATCAACAGCCGAGGGGGATTTTGTCTTTCTTCCCTGCCTGGGGAGAACTGTGCTACAACCATTGGTCACTTGTGCTCTCGAGCCCCAGTCTAGGGCTGCTGGGAAGTGATGTCACCCATAAACAGGCACAACCCATTTCATTAGGGTTTTTCTTTTTATTTAAGGCAAACCCTCCTGGACAAGGCTATTGTTGGCTGGACGCGGGTGGCGTTGTGGATTAAACCACAGAGCCTAGGACTTGCCAATCAGAAGGTTGGCTGTTCAAATCCCTGCGACGGGGTGAGCTCCCATTGCTCAGTCCCTGCTCCTGCCAACCTAGCAGTTCGAAAGCACATCAAAGTGCAAGTAGATAAATAGGTACCGCTCCGGCGGGAAGGTAAGCGGCGTTTCCATGTGCTGCTCTGGTTCACCAGAAGCGGCTTAGTCATGCTGGCCACATGACCTGGAAGCTGTACGCCGGCTCCCTCGGCCAATAAAGTGAGATGAGCGCCGCAACCCCAGAGTCAGCCATGACAGAATCTAATGGTCAGGGGTCCCTTTACCTTTAACCATTATAGGCCATGTTATTCCTCCACTGCTGGAGGCAGCATGCTTCTGAAAACCAGTTGGTGGAAACTGCAGGAGGGAAAAGAGCACTTGGATCCTCCTATCTGGTTGGCCCCCTGATCCAGCAAAAGGCTCCTTTTATGTTCCTGGTTAGTTGGCTTGTTAGTTAGAATTAGGAAACGTAGCTAGGATTAAGTGACCTTATTTTTTTAATAGCTACTTACAAGAACCAATTAAGTGGACTTTTGAAGTATATAGGGATGGTCAGCAGAGAACACACAGCAGATCACATTCATCTCCATGTGCGCCCACTAATCTCATCAGACTAGTCCTCAGGAGATCAGTAGGAAGCATGGCCAGCAGACCCATAAGGCAAACTGAACTATGTGTTTATTGGACACGTTACATATTTCCAAAGTCAGGTTTTTTAAAAATAAAGAACCAGCTCATTAAAGCACAAATGAACTCTTCCCAGTTGGGTTTCATTTCATCCTGGATGCTGTTTACATTTTCGTTTTATCTTATGATATTTGAACAGTGTGTTCAATCAAAGTCTGCTCTTGAACTAGGTTGAAAAACCTCTAGCCTGCCTGCCAAATTTCCTTCATTTTCGCAGAATGGGTGTTTATTTCAGCGAATAATCTTCCTATCCCCCCTTTTTTTCAGTCCTGGAAAAAAATATTAGCTGTTCATCATCACAGTTCACATTATCATGGGTTATGGACAGTAAGTACTCCAGAACTTTTAGAAAAGTAAGCTTTTGTTTTGTTTTGTTTTGTTTTGTTTTGTTTTGTTTTGTTTTGTTTTACAAAAGCAACTAAAACCACTCCATATGTACCATAAATATTTATTTGGTGAACTGTCTCATTAACTTTGTGTTTCCAGTAAGGGAAGTACCCTCCATAGCCATTTGAAGCCAGAAAAAAAAATGCTCAAGTTAACAATTTTGCAGTTGCTTTGCAAAGAGACCTATGTACTTTTATCAGTTCAGGGCTCACTTTCCATAGACTGTTATTTTGAGATCTCCTTAAAGCAAAGCTAGAATTTTATGAGGGAAAGGATATAGTTCATTGGCAGAGCAGCTGCTTTGCTTGCAGAACGCCCCAGTTTCGATCCCCAGCATCTCCTGTTAAAAAGGATCTGGTGATAGGAAAATGGTCTGCCTGAGACTCTGGAAAGCTCCCCAGGTCAGTATACACAATATCCAATATAAACAATATTTAGCAGGGGGAATGTGCTGTTTGGGGAGGCTCTTGAGGGGCTGGTAGGCCACAGGTTGAGGGGTGAGGCCTCAAAACCCCAACAAGGAACAGTCAGATTGTATTCAGTAGGGAAATAGAGAGCAATGTCACATACTGTCCCTAATAAACAATGTGAACTGAGCATTCCCACACCCTCCAGCATTTCTCTGATGAAAATAGGATTGTCCTATTCAATAATAATAATAGTAATAATAATATAGTGGAACCTTGGTTTTCGAGCATCTCAGAAGCCAAACGTTTTGGAATCCAAATGCCAAAAACCCGGAAATAATTGCTTCCACTTTTGAACGCGCCTCGGAAGTCGAACATTTCCCCCATTGAAATTGCTGAAAGCCCTTTGCGCCTCAGTTGTCGAATGTTTTGGAAGTTGAATGGTCTTCTGGAATGGATTACGTTTGACAACCAAGGTTCCACTGTAATAATAATAATATTTAAACCCATCCATCTGACTGGGTTGACTCAGACACTCTGGGTGGCTTCCAACATATAGAAAAACTTAACAAAACATTAAATGTGAAAAACTTCCCCATGCAGGGCTGCCTTCAGATGTCTTCTAAAGGTTGTATAGTTACTTATCTCCTTGGCTCAGGGGTCGCATAGCTCAATACCCTCCAATATTTCTCCGATGAAAATACAGTGGTACCTCAGGTTACAGACACTTCAGGTTACAGACGCTTCAGGTTACGGACTCCGCTAACGCAGAAATAATACCTCGGGTTAAGAACTTTGCTTCAGGATGAGAACAGAAATCGTGGCGTGGCGGCAGCGGGAGGCCCCATTAGCTAAAGTGGTGTTTCAGGTTAAGAACAGTTTCAGGTTAAGAACAGACCTCCAGAACAAATTAAGTTCTTAACCTGAGGTACCACTGTAGGGTTCTCTTAAGGAAAAACAGGACATTCCAGGATCAAATCAGAAACTGTGATGACTACTGTAAACATGGTACTGTCCCTGGAAAATAGGGACACTTGGAGAGTCTGTATTCCAGTGGTGATGGTGTGAAGGAAGAGAGTGGCTGGGGTCTTTTGATACACTCATGGAAGTTTGGCTATGTTGCCTTATCAGGAAAATGGCCGCTACGCTATAAGCATCCATGCTTGAGATTTTTTCCGTCTTGCTATGGTGCCACTTCAACAATGACAAAAGGCTGCTTTTATGTACATATTTCTTGAGGAGGAGGGAAAAAACAGTTTAAATATAAAAACCTATTAACATTCATAAATTGTTCGGGGCGGGGGGGTAAAAGGCTAATCCTGTCCAAGAGGATTTGTATCCCCCTGGGTGGGTACATAACTTTGACTCACTGGATTCATTAATTCATACTCATGCAAGCGATCCAGGAATTCTTAACAATAGCTCAGGACTCCAGATGACATATTTGGAGTAGAAATGTGTATTTATTTACAACCAAGCTGCAATCCAGCCCTATCCTAAAGAAAGCAAAAGAGCTTGATTTGCCATCAATTACTGAGGCAGTTCCAAAGGCTGTTAATTTGAGTAGCTAAGTAAACAGAACTTGACACGCATTGTGCTGCTGTCTGAATTACTTCAACCTCTTGCTTATACACAAATGGATCACTGGAACTTGAGGAGCTGTACTGGGAGGGCAATCTTGATTTCATTGACTTGGGGCTTGTACACACAAATCAAACACACACACACATTCATGCTTTCCTGGTAATAAGATATTTTCCAGATCCCATCCCTTGTTTTCTAGTCTTTCAGTTCCCTACATTAGTGGAAACGTTATATTTCCCCAATCCTTTTCTCCCTATGTAGGAGGGGAAGGACCCTGTCATAGCTGGAGGTCTGGAGATGAAGCAGGAGGGCAGGGTGTATCGCAATGGTAGGACCAGGGTTTGTTAGCTCTAGGGCTAGATCCCACTGAGCCTCTTGGGCTTGCTGATCAGAAGGTCAGTGGTTCGAATCCCCGCAACGGGGTGAGCTCCCATTGCTCTGTCCCAGCTCCTGCCAACCTAGCAGTTCGAAAGCACGCCAGTGCAAGTAGATAAATAGGTACCGCTGTGGTGGGAAAGTGAACAGCATTTCCATGCACTCTGGTTTCAGTCATGGTGTTCTGTCGCACCAGAAACAGTTTAGTCCTGCTGGCCACATGACCTGGAAAGCTGTCTGTGGACAAACACCAGCTCCCTCGGCCTGAAAGTGAGATGAGTGCCGCAACCCCATAGTCGCCTTTGACTGCACCTAACCATCCAGGGGTCCTTTACCTTTTATCCTCACTAAGCCCCTTTTTTGAGTGGGTTCCCCTCCTCTTTGCAACTGTTGCCACGGGCCTAATCCCCACTACGTGGCAAAATATAACCACCATTCCCTGTTTTCCCTAATCCACCATCCAGTACATGGTAAGTTTTCTTTGGACTGAGTCTTTGAATGTTAACATATATGCCTCACTGATCCTCGTATTCATTTATTGATACTATTTCTTACTTGCCCTTCAGCACGAGGGGCCCCTATAGACATCCCTTTTCATTTTATGATTATTCATGATGACTTGCACTCATGATGCTATCAGGGTGGTCACACACAATCCTGCTTTCACTACTGTTAATGCCTGCAAAAGTTTTGGAGTTGGTCACATTGCTTCATTTTTAAGCAGCACATATCCCATTAATGCTGAATCCTGCATCTCTTTCTACCACAGATGTCGTGGTTCATTTCGTCTCACTTTCGTTGTGCTATAGCCTCTCTATAGACAGCAATATTGAAGTAGCATTAGGGAATCACTGCAGAACAAACAAAAACGGAATAAACCCACCACTCTGTTTGAGATATTGCACCCCCCCCAAATAAACTCTGTATGTACACTGTACATGCTCTGTCAAGGATATGTTGCAGTCTGGAAGGTCCTCGGGTGGGTTGCAACAACAAAATATACAATTATAAAAACAAATAAAATCATTACAATGATAAAATACACAAAACTGTTCCAAATCCAGCAAAAGAGCTGAAAAGAGGGTGTTGTGGCTGACCAGTCGTACCCACCCACAACACAGGGTGTCGGTTTCCAGTTCTCACTCCAATACGTGCCCTCTTTAAGGGAGGACCCTATATATAGTAATGTCTGACTTCACACCTGAAGATTTATATGTTCAACCTTTCTGCATTCCAGCCAGGTCAGACATTTATTATAACTCTGTTTTGGTGCACGGGAGTTTTAGTCATTGGGGGGGGGGGGGAGGACATATACAAGCAAGTACTTAATCAGACAGTCCTTGCTGGCAAAAAATAAAATAAAAAATACAGTGTAGATACAGAGTTTGTTATTTTGCTAAAACTGTAGAATGGAGGGCCAAACTAGATGTGAAATGGGAGATTCATTATTGGACCCCCGGACATTTTTCGGGTGAAATATCTCAAATATCTAAAGGGCTGTCACCTGGCAGATAGAGCAAGCTTGTTTTCTCCTGTTCTGGAGGGCAGGGCTCAAACCACCGGCTTCAAGCTACAAGAAAGAAGATTCTGACTAAACATCAGGAAGAACTTTCTGATGGGAAGAGCCGTTTGACAGTGGAATGGGCTCTCTTCCAAGGCTGTCGACCCTCCTTCCTTGGAGGTTTTTAAGCAGAGGATGGGTGGCCCTCTGTTGTTGTTGTTGTTTGGAAGGGATTTGAGACTATCTAAATGGTAGATATTTAATTTTAGATTTAAAAAATAATAATGGGAAGAATGCACTACAGCTTTGGCAGAAAGAATATTTCAGTTCTTATTCAAACCAGTTTGGGGAAGCTGGTCACACAGAAGAGTGTGCTCCCTGGGTTCTCTCTCTCTCTCTCTCTCACGGTCCCCACCCCCATCATTTTGTCTTAGAATTATTTACCTTGAGGTTTGGTTTCTGATAAATTGGTTAGGAAATTTGAAGGCTTGTTTTATGATGCTCCAAACGAACACACATACACACGGAAGAGTGCCTGCCTTTACTTCTGTTATCTCGGCAGTTAATCCAGCTGTCAGGACATTTTCCAAGTTATGAAAATGTTGCAAGCTGCAAGCCTTCAAGTACAGCTTGGAAGCACGGCGTGTACCTCCAGTTTTACGATTGTGGGGATATTTTGGGGAGGATCTTTCCTCCCACGTTTGCCAGCTGAGGCTGGAGGCTCCTTTCCCCTTTGGAGCAGAGGAGCCTGGCTCTTTGAGATCCGCTGGATGCTTGCCTAAGAAACAACTGCAGCGATACGGTTGCAGGACTTGGATTTAGGAATCTCGCCCGCCCTTGGCCTCCTGCCTCTCCACTGTGCTATTGTGCATGTCTTGACGGAGGGCCACTTTGTGGTGAGAATGTGAAGAATGTGCAAATATGTAGCCTCCAATACAACCAAGCAGCAAAATTAAGCCAAGAGCATGAGATGCTGCATTGAAAACTGAACCAGACTCATCTGGTCCCTCTTAAGTCCAGTACTCCAGGCTCCCCCAACCTAGTACAGTGGTACCTCAGGTTAAGAACTTAATTCGTTCTGGAGGTCCGTTCTTAACCTGAAACTGTTCTTAACCTGAAGCACCACTTTAGCTAATGGGGCCTCCTGCTGCTGCCGCGCCGCTGGAGCATGATTTCTGTTCTCATCCTGAAGCAAAGTTCGTAACCTGAGGCACTATTTCTGGATTAGCGGAGTCTGTCACCTGAAGCGTTTGTAACCCGAGGTACCACTGTACCTTCAAGCTGTTTCAGACAACAACTTTGGTCAGTGCCACTCACACAGAACGCCATTCACTTTGCGTTTTCTGAACACAAAATTTCTCCGCCTACTTGTGCCAGAAACAATTTGATGGAGAACGAAAGGGTATGGATGGGTGGTGGTGGAAGAGACCCTCCTCCTGTGTGACTGACTTTAGCAAAAACAGCAGGTGTCTTATGCAGATGAGCTCCTCCCAAGAGAGCCTGGTGCTGCCGTTTCACCCTTTGAAGCCTGTATAGCTGTTTTTGGACCAGCTCACATAGCTGAACCTCATAACACTGGGTTACAATTTATTTCCCAGAATTCCATTTTGTTCTCAGATCGCAGCTGGAATGTCCCCAGTTACCAATCAGATTTTGACAACCTACTTTGAAGTACATATACGAAGTTCCCTTAAATCATGTCAGGCTTTTTACCTATGTATCTTTTCCAGCTGCAACATCTCTCAAGCAAGGATACTTTCTCCAGTCAGATCTGCTACTTCAGCAATGAGGAAGCAGTGTGCCCTCCAGTTATTGCTGGACTGCACTGCCCAGCATCCCTGACCTGTGACCATGCTGGTTCAAACTGAAGAGAATTAGAGTACTTTTTAAAAAAGGAAAGAAATGATCTAGATTTGCTCGCTTTCCTTTCCACTCCCCATTCCTTTCCCCTTTTTTATTGTTGCTTATTTGATTGTGGACCTTTTAGGAACATGGTAAGCGTCATGCCCTTAGCTCAGTTGGTAGAGCATGAGATTCTTGAGAGGGTTGTGGGTTCAAGCCCCACATTGGGCAAAAGATTCCTGCATTGCAGGGGGTTGGACTAGATGACCCTCGTGGTCCCTTCCAACTCTATGATTAATATTAACAATACACGGTTATTGCAGTAAAAATGCACTAGTCAAAACTTTTACCACTGCTTTTTAAGCCGGCTGAAGTCTTCAAAGGCAGCCCCACATAGGACACATTGTAGTAGTCCAATTTAACAGCAAATAAATGCATGTGTGACCTGTAAGTTCATTGTATGTTGCATGAATAAGTACTTCATAGTGTTTGTCCAGAACCTAATTGGGGACAGGGTGGGAGAGAGGGAGAAAGAAAGAAAGAAAGAAAGAAAGAAAGAAAGAGAAAGTGATTGTTTCTTTCTAAAACTTATGATAGCTCAAAATTTCTTACTTAGAGTGTTTTGAAATAGTTAATCTTTTTCCTCCATTTTCTCAAACTTTCTTTTTCTTTTTTCACAACTGCTTCTTGTCACCTTTGAATGGTTGGCGACACCCCATAATTTACCTCCAGGAATGCAGACATGAAGGAAGACGATGGGATGAAATATGGTGTCAAGTTTGTATCTGCTCACATTTCACACACTAAAGAGACAAGCCCCTTTGGCTAGTTGCCATGGAGAATTCTCTTTTGGAAGCAAATAACTCAGAACACAGAGAGAGAGCAAGAGAGAGAGAGCCCCCAAACAAACTCAGATTCATGCTGCCCCAGCTGCAGAATATCATTAGCTCTCAAAGGATATAGTATGCCATGTTGCGTGAAAAGAATTTTATTATGGGGTATGACCACCTCTGGAAAATTAGCTGAGCAAAACTTTTATGTTCAACTTTGAACATTGTTTCCTGTGTGCAATTTGAGGAATGTGCATCTAAATATTATTTGAGTGGCCAGCAGCACTCCAGATAAGTAGCTGATTCACCAATGGATCCCTGTAGTTACCTGGCTGCCAGTTGGTTTCTGGGCCGAATATAAGGTGCTCACACCTCCAAACCATCCTAAATATCTTCACAGAAGCTTGCAGAGAAAGGGGACAGAGACATTTCTCTCTCTCTTCCATGACAGTAGAACTTGGGTCATCCAATGAAGCTGAATGTTTGAAGATTCAAGAGTGACAAAGGGAAGTGCTTCACACAATGCTCCCACAAGAAGTAGTGAGGGCTACCAACTTGGACAATCTGAAAAGGGATTTAGGCAAATCCATGGACGATAAGACTTTTAATGGCTAGACAATGGTGGACTCCAGTTCCCATCAGACCCAGCTAGTATGGCCAATTGTCAAGGATGACTGACATTGTAGTCAACACCACTCAGGTTCCTCATACCTGATGTTGAGCAGTGTAAGTCTCCCTTGCTGTCAGGGTCTATTATTTTGTTTTCTTACACAGAGAACACTTAAGCTCAAACAGAATGAAATAAAATGAGATTTAATGGGATGTTGCTGGGTTGAGGCATGCATTAACCCCCCTCCCTGTTATGAACACTTGCTTATAATGTTGTCACCAGTCAGGCCTACTCAAGCAGTCCAAACTTGTACAAATAAACAAGTGCCTTTTTATTTTTTACAAATGCATCTGTCCCAAATCTGACTCAATGGCACATGCAGGCTTCCAATTCATTTCTCCCCCTTATAGTTCTTTATGGCTGACTGAACTTCAGATTTTTCATATATAGACCACAGATTTCAGCATGATTAAAAGGGGCATTAAATCAAAACACTGAGCCCAGCATTTCTGAGTCCTGAAGTTATTCTGTATGCGCAATTAAACATTATAGCCAAGTGAGAGCCTTGTCTTAATTTTCCTATTTTATTAGGCAACATCGTGTGTTTTCGATGCCCAATTTAGATCCGCTCGAAAACACCACAGAACTTCCTTTCTTAGATTCAAACTTTGGTATGCTGTCCCCCTCTTTTTCTTCCAGAAGTTTTGATTAGAACCATATGGTCTATGGATGTGTGTGTGAGAGGGGAGGGATTCAGATTTTGAGGATCACAGCACTCTTTGCTCTGCAGCAAATGTGGCAATATGCTTTGCATTAGTGCTCTCTACAGGGTGGGTTTCTGAACCGTAGAAGTACTTTTGGAATATCTGGGTGTGCTTGCATTAAGTGCTGCGTCAGTCTCATAAAAATGAGCATTGAAAACTGGAGAGATGCCTGTATTTTGGAACGGTTCCATTTTTGAAGACTCAAATTCTCTCTTCAGCTTTCATAAATGCAATGTTGCCAAAAGTCTGCATAGTTATAGCTCCAGTTCTGTAGTAAAGGTTGGCTCCGTCTCGGAGGAAGCGCTCCAGCAGTAATGGCGCTCATGCACTCTGGCACATGGACTGAGGTCATCAATTCAGGAGGAGCCAGAGGGATGAGTTTCCCAAGAGAGTCTTTCACGAGGCAGATTGGCGACGAAACAGTGGAAGTGTAATCCCCACTACAGAAGTTCACTAGGGCCTAAACCAGGGTTTCCTAAAGTTGGGTCTCCCACTGTTTTTGGTCTACAACTCCCATCATCCCTAGGTAGCAGGAGCAGTCATCAGGGATTATGGGAAGTGGAGTCCCAAAACAGCTGGAGATCCAAGTTTGGGGAACCCTGGCCTAAAATCATTTATTATTGTTTCTACTTACTGAGGACTCCTAAACTTGCATGGGTGCCAAACTTAATAAAACATTGAGGGGAAGGCAGGAAAGCCCTGCCTTACATAATCCATCGTATGACATAGCACACACCATTTGAATGGCAATGCTCATTAACCTTGTGGGGGCAGCCCCCTCAAATATTTTATTGGGAGGACGAAGGGACCTCGGACCCTAGGAGTTGGCTCCTATGCATGGGGCTTGGGGGTTGGGAGGAAGAAGGTGCAGACGTTCCATAAGTAATCCATGTGGGAAGCATGTTTGCAACCTGCAGCGCTCGCAACCCGCAGCGCCATGTCTGTGCATGCGCATGACGTGATTCAGCACTTCTGCGCATGCGCAAAGCGTGATTTAGCGATTCTGCACATTCGGAGTGCAAGCGCCGAAACCTGGAAGTAACCCATTCCAGTACTTCTGGGTTCAGCGCGGTCCGTAATCTGAAAATGCGCAACCCGCAGCGTTCGCAACCTGAGGTATGACTGTATAGGGCACTTCCATCCGTATCAGCAAATTATGACTCCTCTGCAAATTTTTCCAATCCTGCTGTCCATGGCAAGATTTCCGTATATAATCTCTTGAGTTTGCTTTTTTTCCAGGCTGCTGCCCTGTCTCTTTTCCCTTTGTGTTGTGCCTCTTAGACTGTGAGGCTTAGGGTAGGTATTCTTCTCACTGATATCTGAAAGCCACTCTAGAGCCTTTTTTGGCAGAAGAACACGGGTAAAAATGCTACTGGTGGTGATAAAGGTAATAAGTTGCAAATAGGGATGGGTGACTCTGTCAATTTCAGTTTCTCTCAGTTTCAGTGTTTTCCACATTTGCACATCAATGTCTGATTTTCCTTTTTAAAAAGTTCTTGGGGAAATTCATCCTAGCGAATTTCACCCAATATGCACATTTAGGTATAAAATTTCACATAATGCTTATTCCCCCCCCCCCAAAGAATGTACCCCCTAATATTTATATTTTCCCTAATATATTATTATTAACATTTTTATACACACAAGAACCGCACTACGAAATTCATACCGGTGAGAATGCTGAGTTGTGACTGCATTTCCTCTCATGTATTGTTTAGGGTAGTGAGAATTAGGTTAGGTTCGCCTTTAGATGCAAGCTGAATTGAATTTCTTCTCCATCCCTAGTGGTGACTCAATAGGACACACCACATGGTTAGTGAGTTGCATTGGGTGCACTGCATCACGCATTGCGCAGGCCTGTTTATGATCGGCCTGTGCAATCTCCTTGCTAGCAAGCTCTGCTAAAAAGCCCAGAAACAGATGTAACAAACTCCTACCTGCTTCCCCACTGCAAAATTGCTCCTCTGCTCTGCTCCATCCTGCCTTTAGGCAATTTATCATCTTACTCTGACTTAATAAAAATTCTTCTTGCCTTTCCAGAAACTTTTCACCATTTTGCAATAGTTTTATGTGGCCTTCCTCTCTCTCCCCCCCCCCAAACCCGGTGAAGTTCTGTAGCCTTCGAAGCCGCCCTCTGTCTCTGCCTTCCCCTCTCTTCCATACTTTCTAATCCAATTTAGTCAGCTAGTTAGTCCAAATCCCTCGGAGGCCTACAGTTTGTTCATTCTCCCACAGTGCTGAAGTTTCCCTCCAGCCCAGCTGGCCGGAGTTTTTAGAAATAACAATATCTCGGGGGAAGGAGCTCAAGATTGAATGGGGCCTTTTGTCCAGATCTCTATGAAGCCAGATTAATTATGCATTGCAGAACACAGATTTAAAGCACTGAATTAGATCCCCGTTGCAATGAAAAGGGAGAGAGGGAGAGAGAGAGAACATGCCTGAAACTGAAAGCAGATTTACAATGACCAAGTAGCTGGAGAATTTCTCACAATGGCAACCGAACGCTAAGTTGCACGAAGCACTCAGGAGCAGTTATACTTTGCTTTTACAAAGATGATTCTTTGACATCTCCCACACCCCATCATTCCTATGGGTGGCTTCTTGTTTTGTTTGCTGGTTTATTTAATTGAGGCCCTTCCAGCCCACTCTTCATTTAAATTTGATCCGAGAGCAGGGTACAATATAAAATACACAATCCATAAAACGTAATAAGACCACATTGTATATAAAACAAGCATAACTTTAAAACAACAACAGATCAGCAGGTCCAGCAATAACAATTTAGCCCAAGGCCCAAGGCCCAAGTGGACAAATGTGGCTTTAACTGGCACCGAAAACCCATAAGGGCCAAATGGTAGTTTAGTTTCATTTCATTTAATTTCACTTTTTAATTTGTATACCGCCTTTCTATATTGCTATACACAAGGCAGTTTAGAAGCTGAAGAAACAACAAAATAGAGGTCACAAAGAGGTCACAATAACAAACCAAACAACAATCTGATCCAAGACAAAAACGTCACAATAAAAACAGTTTTAAAATAAACAATTTATAACAAATGAATCAACATTTAATAATCCGTTAGAATGTAATAGTAAAAAGCAAAATTAAATATCAGCAAATAGTAATTAAACAGTTTACATTTAACAATTACAATACAGAATTACCAAGATGTAATCAATAAAAATAACGGCAAATCACAATGCATAAAATACCCTGAAATATACAAAACCATGCAAAAGGATGAAATTGAGAAACAAGGACACACAACTTAATTTATCTATATCATCTATCTATCTATCGATCTATCATCTATCTATCATCTATCTATCATCTATCTATCATCTATCTATCTATCTATCTATCATCATCTATCTATCTATCTATCTATCTATCTATCTATCTATCTATCTATATCATCTATCTATCATCTATCTATCATCTATCTATCTATCTATCATCTATCTATCTATATCTATCTATCTATCTATCTATCTATCTATCTATCTATCTATCTATCATCTCTCTCTCTCTCTCTCTCTCTCTCCCCAGCTTCTTCTACTGTTCTCTAAGTCATGGTCTGGGAAAGGCTCCTAGGGCTGGAAGGTAGGGCAAGGCAGGTGGAAAAAGCCATTGCCTGATGACCCACACAAAGTCTTTCTCCTTTCACAATTCTGGTAGTTCATAGTGTTTTTCAGGTGACTAGAGACAGAAATCACTATACATGTTTTCCTGGGGGTTATGTTCCACAGAACTCAACAGCTCTTACTTCTGAGTAGAAAGTTTCTATGGAAGTTGTCAGGGAACTGCCATCGGTAGGAAGGGAGGTGAAAGGACTCAGACAGGTTGGAAGAGACTTAGCAGCTGAAGAGGAAACCAGCAGGGGGAGAGAAGCTGAACTGAGGGAGGTGAAAGGGCTCAGACAGGTTGGAAGAGACTTAGCAGCTGAAGAGGAAACCAGCAGGGGGAGAGAAGCTGAACTGAGGGAAAGGGAGCTGGGGGGATGGCTCAGAGATACTTCCAGCGAAAACAGTGGTGAGGTTTCCGGACCTCCTGTAGCGACACCCACTCCTCGCCGGAAACTGTCACGCAGAGAGTCCAGAAGACGTGTTTCCGTTAAGGAGCTTTTATGTTGGAAGCGATTACGAAAGCAACCACTGTCGGAATCTTCTAGTGACTAAGAGGAGCCATGTCAGAGGGGCTCAGTCACAGACAGAGGTTTGTGGACTTGAACAAACTCTGAGGGAATACGATTTTACGCACAAGCAGCTCATAATCCCATCACAGCATTCCGACAGTCTTTGAACGCAGCTTGTGCAGGAGAAGGCATAATGAGCAACCCAGCAGGAACCGGAGAAGCAGGGGCTGGAGCGGGTCCAAGCCTGGAAGAAAGGTACCGAGTGTTGGAGGTCCAGCTGGCGCTGCAGACGGCGAGGCTGGAGGAGAGGAGGGCTCAAGATGCAGACAAAGGGAGAAAGCCACCCAGCTCGCCAGAAAGGTACCAGGATTGGTGCAAAAATTTGGGGGGGAGCCCAAAGACTATCATAGCTTTCGGACAGAAATGCAATATGCCCTCAACTGCAGTTTGATGATTGGGCATCTTGAAAAGGGGGCGAGAGACTGGGTTAGACCCCTGATGGCAGCTAATAGTGACGTCTTAAAGGACACGATGAAGTTCTTTCGCGCCATGGATCTGATGTTTTCCAGCGATATTGAAAAGGGAGTGGTGCGCAGACAGTTAATGGCTTGCAAACAGGGGAGCCGATCTGTACGTGAGTACTGGACTGAGTTCACCATGCT